AATATCCAGTCACAGGTTCTAACCAGAGGAGCGAATCAGAACAAAACAAAACGATCATATCACTTGCTTTTGCAAATAATCCTTTTTGGCGATGATCCTTCTAGAAGAGTTAATGTCATAGGAAATTATTTTTCCTCTCTTCTGAATGACCTGTTATATATGTTTACCATGCGTAGCTACACATTCACAAAAGGATCTGGCAGCTGGATGAAAGTTGTTTTAATTTCATTTTCAGTCACCATAGAACATGCAGGCATGTTCTGGAAGAAAGTTGGAAACATCAGCTGGGAAAGTGGCTACCATATGGGCCTGCCTTTCAGAATGCTCTGCAGCTTCCTGTGATGGCCTGCTACACCAGCCCAACAAACACAGACACCAGCATTGTCCTTTCTTGCTGCTCAGTGGTAGATCACACCATATGTCTACAAAGTAGATAAGAGGGAGCTCTCTTCTTGGCCCACGTGCCTCCTTATACTAGAAATGTTATTTAGGCCTTGTCATAGCCATAAAACTCCTCATTGACATTCTCTTTGCTCATTTTCATTGCAGTACCAGTATGCTTTGGAAAAGCCTCTACAACTTGTCTAAAATTAGTTGAAAAGAATTCTAAGTTCATTCATTTTATCATCCTTTCTCCATTAGTGAGGACAGGATAATAAAAATGTCACTGCTTACAAATATATTTGTATTTGCCTATAGGGTAGTGTTTTGAACCTAACAGAATGTGGGGGCTATTCAACTAATTTCTTAGACAAAATGGACCACGTCATTTGTTTAAAACCAAGTGGCTCCTTGGGAATGACCCACATGTGGGTCAGGGATTACAAAATAGAACTTTATGCAGTAAACTACTTTAAGTAGTTACTACTTATAGTAGTAAACTATCTATAGGTAGTTTACTGCATAAACTACCTATAGATTTCAAGTAATAAAAATCATGTAATCTCTATTACAGTCCCCAAACTTGCAGACCGAGACCTTGTAGAGGGTAGAAAACCACCATTTCTAAGTGCCCCAGAATAATGGGGTATGCTTAAAGGCATCTGCTGATTACAGCTAAATCCAAAGAAGTAGGTCAATGAAGGAGGATCTACTCTCCTCAGAATAATTTCATGGAAATAACCATTTGAGTATTCTCATTTGTGATAAGCGAATTTCCTTTAGCTGGCTCTTCCAATCACTTGAGAATCTGGGTGCTGGCATCATGTTGGAGCATGACAGGCTGTTTGGATGTTCTGCCTGGCACGCATCAATAAATTCAAACTACCTTCCCAGAAATGTGATCTTACAGCCTCCAAACAGCTTCTTGGTAAGAAAAGGGACAAACACAATGAAGAGATGAAATACCCAAGAAAAATCTAGGGCATGTGAAAAAAAAACCGTTAAAAATCCTTTATGAGAAAGGATGTCCTCTCTGAATAAAACACCTTCTAAAATAACACAAAGGTTGAAGTTGCTCACTCTAGTTAGCTCTGGAGATAAGTGAAATGAAGCTTTGGCATAGTTAGCAAGGGAACTTATGAAAATGCAGGAAGAAGACAACACCTCCGCATAGAGACCACGCATGCTCCTAAATCCACGCTTCCATCCAGTTCCTTAAAGAATCTGGCTGACCTGCTGTGCTAGACGTGAACTCTCACTTCCAAACAACCGATTGCATTTGAATGAGGATACAACACTCCTTCTCTAGTACCCTGCAGGGCTGAAAACCAGATTTCTTTCCTCTGGCTAGGTCGGATATAAGAGGATAGCCTTGTTAATGAATGACTAGGACGACAAAGAACAGGCCCTACAGCTGAAACCACATCCGACAACAATTCACCCATTTTGCCATTACATGCTGAGCAAACATGAGCAACACTGGACTTTTGTGCTCCTCCTGGCTGGCGGCTCTGAGTGTACTGAGTGTGCATTCACTTGTGTAACCAAAGACTTACCCATATCCTTCATTTTATCCTTAGTAACAGGTTTGGAATAAATCCCCAAGAGTGGGATAACTGGGTCAAGGCATACACAGTTGTAAGGCTTCAGAAACTGCCCTCTGGAAGACCACACCGATTTTATTCCCAGCAGAAGTATATGAGATTTGTTTCTCATACACTTTTAGAAATATTATTATACTTTTCCATCTTTGTGAATGTGAAAGATGAAAAACTGCATCTCATTACTTTGTATACCACATTATTTGTACTAACCTTAATATTTTGTTAACACCTCTTCAGTGAGCCAAGTCTCACTTATCCTCACCACATGTCTGTGAGCAAGGAGGCAGAAGTACATCTAATTTGTTCACATTCATTGTACTAGCTGATGAGCCTCATAACACCCAGGCACATGTCATGAACAATAAGGCACTTTTAAATCTATTTATGTTATGCTGGGTCTTTAACTCAGGTGACACAGGAGACTGGGGGCTCTAGTCTGGTTGTGTTAGGGACAGCTGCTGTCTAAACAGAAACTACATGCTGTGAGGGCTCTTTCTAACATTCTCAAAGTTCTTTTCTTCCCACTTTCTTCATATCTAGACTTTCAAAAATTATGTTTTTTTCTTTTTTTGACACCATAGATGAACCTGGAAAAATTGTTTTTTATTGAATATTTGATAACACATGAAAATGCTCATGAGTGAAAAAAATAAAAGTTTTGCAAAAATATTATCTTGGTTTTATTAAAAATGAATAAATATGCATGCATATGTGTAGAATTAAAAGTAACCAGAAGAGTGGCCGGGCATGGTGGCTCATGCCTGTAACTCTAGCACTCTGGGAGGCCGAGATGGGTGGATCGTTTGAGCTCAGGAGTTCGAGACTAGCCTGAGCAAGAGCGAGACCCCGTCTCTACTAAAATAGAAAATCAAAAGAAATTAGCTGGACAACTAAAAATTATATTAAAAAATTAGCCAGGCATGGTGGCGCATGCCTGTAGTCCCAGCTACCCGGGAGGCTGAGGCAGGAGGATCGCTTGAGCCCAGGAGTTTGAGGTTGCTGTGAGCTAGGCTGACGCCACGGCACTCTAGCCTGAGCAACAGAGTGAGATTCCGCCCCCCAAAAAAAGTAACCAGAAGAAAATGCAACAAAATGTTAATGAGTTAACATTTAACATTAACATTTAATATTTAACATTAACATAGTTAATGAGTTTTGCGAGATGATTTTAATTTTCTTCTTTGTATTTTTTTGTATTTTCTGAATTTTCTACAGTAAATCCATATTACTTTAATATTTAGAAAAACTCTCAATATGCTATAAATGATAACTGGACATCTGATCACTCTGGATCTGTGAAATGCCATTCTTTATATCTTCATAGCCACAGCCAAAGGCTTATTATCAAAAAGGACAAAAACAGGGATTGCAAATACATTGGAAATTCGGTGCCAACTCCTATCAACTGCTAGTGGTATCCTGGAGCATTATTTTCAAAAGAATTCGAAGGCTGAGTCCACACTCCCCAGGGGACAAGTGCTGTGATGACTGAGCGACACCTAGCACAGGTAGGGGCTGATGGGGTGGAGTATGAGGTCAGGCTATTTGCCATTCCTGAATCAGACTCAGGGCTGGACGGTATCTTGGAGGTTATCTGGTTGGTGTCCCTTATTAACAGATGAGGAAACTGAGGTCCAGAGATGTGAAGCAACTTACTAGAAGTTCTAAAGGCAGAGACAAGACCAGAACCTAATTAAAGTTCTCTACTCTACCCTCAGCTAATTCGTTCATGCTCAAGTGAGCCTCTTTGTCATAGTGACATAGCAAGAATTCATCCATCCTCTGAGAACATAGTTCTCTCTGTCAACTCTTCACCCCTTCAGAAGTCCTGCCAAAGACACCTGGCCTCTGCTGACTCTGCTTCTTAGGTGGTGGTTGTCTTCTCCATACAAACTTTGTACATGGAGAAAACCCCCTAAACCAAATCCCAAGGCTTGGATGTAGTGACTGATCTGCCCAGTAGGTGGCAGTTCCAACAAGGAACTTGCCCAGTAGGTTGGCAGTTCCAACCAGTAGGTGGCAGTTCCAACAAGGAATGGACCAAAGCAGGGATCTGAAGTGGACTTAACCCAAACTGTCAAAAAGAAAAGCTACTGATAGAATTCAGAGTTTTGCAGACATATTTGTATGGAGGCACTTAAGATCTGCAAAGTAAACGAAGTAACAAAATAAAAGATTGGAAGAAAATATAACAAAATATTAAAATTAGTTTTCAATAAAGGGTGGTATTTTAAGTCATTTTCCTTTTTTAATTATTTTGCATCTTCCATCTTATACAATAAACAAAAATTTTTCACAATAAAAGTTATTAAAATAGCGACAGACGATTTCAATAAAATGTATGCTGAGTTCGAGTACTGAAAAGACATCTACAAAAGGATTTGGAAATGTGATAATCTGTATTTCTGTCTCTTATGTCACATAATCATGCAAATATTAGTATGTAAAAAAAGAAATTTAAAATGATGGAATGCTATAATACTTTAGTAATGTGAATGTGTTTTAAAATCTTATTAGCCTTATTAAAAAACAAAAAATGACATATTCAGTTAAATTGGACACATAACACCGAATTACTAGCACATGCAACCATTTCGAGATGACATATCTTTACATTCACTTTACATTCATCCCTATGTTCACTTGCTTAGGGTGAAGAGCACTTACATAAATACACAGAGTTTATGCTGTCTCATCTCAAAATAACCTAAAATTTAATACTTAGAGAATTGGTTTCCTTAGCTCAGTGTTAATGACTCTTATTTACAAATAAATGCATTGTTACCTCTGGAGTATGTGTATATGTATGAATGCATTTAGTAAGTGTCCCTTACTCTACATTAGCACAAATATCAGGGTTTTTTTTTTTTTCTTTTTTGGCCAAATTCTTAATGTTAACTCTCTTCTTTCTTTTAAGATACTTCCTTAACACTTTTCAAATATAAACTTAATCGTAAGCCAAGTTTAGCTACAGAAAACAAGGCTCTTCATGGAGAACCTGACCCAAGTCCTCACCTGGCATCACAGGAATTACTTGACTTGCTGGTCCCCAAAAGATAGAATGATTCCTCTTCTCTGTGTTCGATAATGCAGGCGGCTGGTTTGGGGCAGTGGCTTTCTGGGACTTTTCCAATAAGGAGTGCCCCCCAGCCTCTTCACTCAGCCCTGTGGTTCTCGGCTGGGCAGGACTCGTTGCCGTGTGGGTCACCGTCTTTCGGTCAAGGCCCACTGAAGCACAAAGAGCTATTGTTAGTTGGTGGATTTCTTTTCTGAACTTTAAAACCACTGTATTTGCAGTCAATTCAAAGTCATGAATATTTGGGAATAATAACCCACCTAGCTAAGACATGTCAGAGCCCTATAAAAAACTATTCTCTCTAGTTTTCAAGTAGGTAATCTGTTCCCTGTTCTTCCAATAATTAGCTTTCCAAATATCACCCAAAAAGAAATGGACAAGACAAAACTTAAAACCTAAAGTTTTGAGACCCTTCATCCTTCCTCAAAGCAGTACTTCATTAAACTTTTGGCAGCTCTTCTTCCTTGGGTTGCACTTTCATGTGTGTGACATTGTAAGGATTACAGCTCAGATTTAGCCACACCCTAGCGAGTCATAACATTTTCTAAAAAAATTATCAAAACAAAGCATTTACTTACTTCAGTTTTTGGAAGCTAAAGTAAAAAAGCATTTTTAGGATGGAAAGAATCTTTGGAAAATTGAAAAAAAACTTTACAGCATAATCGATCCCGAAAATTTGACATATGCAACTCAGACTAGAGACCTGTAGTGAATTCTCATTTAAGGCATAGTTTTTCCACATAAAGTTACACCTACCACCAGGCAGAGGAATGACACCGAGTTTGCATTTTACTCTGAGAACGCAGACCTCCCTACTCCATCCCTTCCAGCCCCTGCCTGACAGGCCACTACACAGCCCACTCACGATTTTGGCAGAAGTCTTCATCGGACCCGTCGGGACACTGCGGCACTCCATCGCAAGCCAGCGTGATGTCAATGCAGCAGCCGTCGTCACAGAAGAAGTGGTAGCGCGAGCAAACATGCAAACACCCTGTTTGTAAACAAGTCACAGGAGTGCAGGGAAAGTTAAGACCTCATCAAGATAAACAGAGATTGCTGGGATGATCAGATGCGTTTGGGTAAAGAGATGCAGGTAACAAGGAAAACCTAACAGTTTGAGCTCAGGTCCTGGAGAGGCTGGAGGGCTCTTCTTGAGCCTCCCTGCTTAATTCTCAGGACTCCACAGGGGCCATTCTCCAAGCCACCCTGAGTAAGAGGTGGGAGCCCAGACGCAGCAGCTCTGGTCTTCTCCATCCACTCCTGCCTCCTCCCTCCGTTGTCCACTCTGCACTCACGCCTTCCCCCCATCGCTGGCTGCTCTTCCTCTGGCCATTTATTGGTGTTACTGTCCTACCCCCGAATGGCACTTGGCTGGCCATCTCTTCTCAGAGACACCATTTTACATATGCTATGTCTTACATTCTTGTTTCCTAAGAAATCATTTTCACCACGATTAACTTTCTACTACTGAATCCTATTTGTTGACTACCATAACATCCCTGCTGCTGGAGAGAATACAGAGAATCTTTAGCTGCTGGCTGGCATGAATTTGTTTTCATACAGTGATGACACTGCCTCCCTTTGGAGCTCTTAGGAGATTTTATTTAATTTGCAGTGCAATTCATAGGAGCTACAGATATTTTCTTGAAAGGCATTTTCCCTCCCCCTTGATTAAACCAACTTTCTTAGAGTTGGCTCCACAAGAATGGGGTGACGGGCCGGGCGTGGTGGCTCATGCCTGTAATCCTAGCACTCTGGGAGGCCGAGGCGGGCGGATTGTTTGAGCTCAGGAGTTCGAAACCAGCCTG